AGAGGCATATTTAGAGTGGCTACGGAAACCTATTCTGTATATGCATATATCCGTATTGAGTCGGAAACCACATGGCAACTGTTTAGCTCATGGAAATCCTTGAGCGTCTTGCGATTCTCGGTGGATTGAGAAACTCTTTCCCGTCGGGTATCAAGATCAATGAAGAATCCAACATCCTTGTGTGATCATACAAGCTATGAGGCCTCGACTCAAGCAGTGCATTCGAGTCTTGGCCATGGCGCAATGACCTCTACTTACCAGCCACGTATTATTCAGGGTTGACGAGGCCGGAGGCCGGCTTCTGCGGTTACCGAGTGCAGCGACAACTCAGGGAGTGTGTGACTTGATCTCATGTGGCTGAGATACTTCTCGTCATCAAAGGATTATTGTGAGGCTTGATCCTATTGTCAGTGAGTCATCACGGGTTCTTCGCTGGCAGCTGTTGAGAGGCTGTGGTTCCTTCTCAGAAGGATGGCTGTCCAGTGTTGTGTCCGTGTATTCGGTAGCCGGCTGGACAAGTGAGATGAAATCCCATATAGATTGCGTCAATGGCTTCTCAAGCGTATTCCTGCGCGAATAGATCTAGATGATGACAGTTTCCAACGGTCCCGAAGAAAGTTTTCTCTAAGGATGGCAGTGTTGTTGATAGTTGCTTGGGCTGGGCGAGGCGAACACATAGACTCCCGTGATCCGCGCATGTCCGGCAACTCGGACACCGCAGGCAGACGGCGCTAACATCCGGCGAAGACGGTCAATGCGGACCAGAGAGAGGCAGAAGGAATGGTTGACATTCGACAGCCGTGACAGGTGTCTAAATCACAGTCTTGCAGCCACAGGAGATTTTGAATTTTTGGGGTGACGGATTCTAAGGTAGCTGAAAGAATGAGTGAGATTGACCGCCAAATCGAGCGGTGTGTTGGTGTAGCTTACCGCTGCAGACGCGAAAGAGAATGGGACTTTGCATGGTGGGGGTGAGAAATCGATGGGTCTCGATGGGAAACACGGAGCCGCCTGGGGTTCCTGCAGTAGATGTATCCGCAGAGCAGGGGAGTTCGACTGCGAATAGCCTCAGCTGCTGTGTAAGCTACTATGTGAGCTGACCGGTGTAGGACTATGTGGCAGGACGCCGAGTGTTTTCATCCGTAAAGAACCCGAGGATGATTCTTGGCTGTCATCCGGGACTTTGTGTTTCCAATGCTGTCGCCATGCCAACTGGGATAAAAGGGCCTAGAATGCGTACCTGAGTGCGCCGTAACAACGCATCACCAAGACTCGACACGAGCGAATGGATGAAATCAAGGAACCAACCCGATGTGCCGGACCCCGGCTTCGGGTCTCATCTCAAATGCAGGAACCGCCGAGATGCCGTCTCGAGTCGATTCGTGTGCCTGTTGGATAGCTTGAACAGGGTAAGGCGAAGGGGCAGGCTTGAAGCAAGCGAAGGACAAACATGGAAAGCCGTGAGATACAAGAGGAAGCGCGAGCGTTAAAACAGCCCACTTAAGGCAGCGTTGGCAAGGGGTCTTTGGGACTTGAAGAGAGCTTTGGAGCGTGGTTTTGTTTGGAGCTCAGCTTCCCGTAAGGTATCCGTACGAATAATGGGAGAGAAGCTGAGAATTCGCAGGACCTGACGAGGCTAGACACGCATAGGTTTGCGCTAAGATGCGGCCTTAGATTTGACGGGGGACACGGGACGGGGGACCCCTGAAAAGACGTCACCCAGCCACCGGGCTTTTTTTGAACCTCTCACGCCTGTTTCCCACCCGCGCTGGTGGAACCCCGTCTATCCCACTAGGCCACTAAAGCCACTAAAAGCCACAGCATACGCAGCGAAGGGGCCTCCCCCAGACAACTCTAGCCGGTACGTACCGCGTCTCTTACAGCACCTATCCGTAAGTGGTAGCGTACCTTACGCGGTAAAGGTGTCGGGCGGCCCCACTCTTCCGCCCTGCTCGCCCAGGAACCACTGCGACGCTGCAAATCGCCCGGACAACGGCCGCAGTACCAAGAGTAAATAGAGGAGGTTGGCGTAGCTACGTAGCTCCTTCTGCCAACGTATTGTTCCTTGTTACTGCCTATAGAGTAGATACCAAGACTACTCCGTACTAGCATCGTCTCCGATGCGCAACCGCCGCACAGCCTTTTCGACCAAAAAGTGGATGGCAGGACCAATTGCGCATCCTCGTCTACGTCTCTTTCCCAAACTTGTCACTACTCCTCTTCTCCAGTCTTCAGACCAGACCATCCATCCATCGACCTTTTCTTCCCTCCCAGCCATCTGAATATTCCTTTCTGCAGACGTACAAACCTCTCCCGTTCGCTCCGAACCTGCGGGCATCCCGCTTTCAATTCTGCTTCTGGATCATCATCTGGCAGAGAGACAAAACTAAGTTCACCCTTCCAACCCTCCTTTTCTCCTCTCCCAGCCATCCCAATATCCGCACCTGCATCTGCATCAAACCACTTCTCTTCCCACCTTCGAAGACCCGACCCGCACATACACTTTGACACTTTCACACACTCTCACATTTTTGCATTCTACTCAAGCATCAAAAGTGGAAGTCTGTTTTTGCGTCTGACAATATCCGGAAAGGCTTCACTCTAATCGCAGGTTCCGACACCGTCCCGCATTCCTCGCGGTGTTCTCCAGCAACCCACTCTCCACGACTATTCAACCATAACCAAGCAACCTTGTCGTCTGCATTCCATCGAGCCACGAGTTCCTTCGCTCCGCATTCCTTCCCCGCCGCGCGATCACCTCCCGCCGACGATAGGGAAAGACACCAAGCGTGCCAACGCTGAGGTGCCAGGACTAGAACCCCTCCGTCGCTCCGCTACAACGGAGGACGGCGTGGGTCACCAACAAGAGAGCCATTCCTCTCGAGGACTGGAGTGAAACCCCACAGTCAAGATGCCGAAATTCCAAGTAGGCTGGTATCGTGAGTTGTCCCAGCTTCTTTCCCGATGCAAAATCAAAGAGCAAACCCCAACTAACATTGCGCCATCGCAGGGTTCGTACCGTTTCTAGGATACCACCATGTCTTGATGATCTTGATTGCAATCGCCATCATCCTTCTATGTGAGCTTCTAAGACTCGTCGCAAGACCTCGTGAACAATTTGCTAACCTCCTTCCTAGCCCTACTTTTGGCAGGTTGCTCGTCATCATCACCTTTGATCCCCGATATCTTCCTTCTGTCGCTCTACTATGACCATTACACGGCGGTCCCTTCCACAGCGCAAGTTGACTACAACGTCCACACTGCCATTGAGAACATTGCCGGTGATGCCCGCCTCGCCTGCCGTGTTGGATACTTTGGTATCTGCATCAGCCCGGACGGTGGCAGTTGGCTTTGCAGCAACAATGCCACCGCTCTCGCCAACGAGGTGTCTGTCGACCAGGACCCTTTGAATCTGATTTGGCTTGCCGCTCAGTTCAAGGATATGATCGTATTCCCCTATCTCATGTAAGTTCATCCGCGAGAGGTCTTGCAGAAACGAAATTCTAACAATCGCATAGCATCATCGCCATCATCTTCGCCTTCGTCTGCTTCCTTCTGCTCGCCACCTTCCCCGGTTGGCACGAGGAGGAGGACTCCGAGGGTTCTGACCGCGAAGTCAAGCCCTTCCCCTCGCGTCCCGTTTCCCAGATTTCGCTGGCCATCATCTTCATCGCCTCCATCTTCGTGCTGGTCTCCGTACTGTGGCAGCACACCGCATCCGTCGCTGCATCGATTATCGCCCAAGACTTCGGAAACGGCGCTGTCCGCTCTGGTGTCGGTACTTCGGCCATGGTCCTGGGTTGGTTCAGCTTCACTTTGCTCATCATCGTCACCATCGGCCTGCTGGTCATGATTCTCAGCATTCGCGTCCTGAGCCAGATGGTTGATTAAGGAGTCGACACTGGAGAAGATTGAATGACACGAAAGATTTGACGACGACACATGTGTGAAGAAGATGGGCACATACCCCCAAGGAACAGTTGAAGGGAAAACTTGTATATGGAGGGCTTCTCGAGGAGGGGACATTATTCGAACCCCTTTCGCCATCAGCACATTCATCGTCCAGCACAAAAAAACCATCAGCATCTGGGACATCGGCGTTGTATATCGAGTTTTGCGTTTTTTGTTTTCCTCTCTTTCTGGCTTTCATTCCGGGCCGGCATGGAGTGACAAGATATTTCAAGGTCTTGCCAAAAAGCCCTCGTCATTTTTAATGTTTGTTTGCTCCCGAGAGCAAAGACGAATATAGATGAGCGCCCCATCTCTTCTTCTTCTATACGAAAAAGAAAAAGAAGAAAAAGGACAGCGGATGACGCAGCGTGCTCGCGACGGAGACGAAACGATATCGAGCAACACGAAAGAGAGAAATGGGGGAAATGAAGTCGGACGCACGGGAAATGGGAAATGTGTAGGAGTATGTCATCCACAGTAGATGACGATGAGCAAAGACGTCCGTCCACCCTTAGAGACGACACAGATAAGATGAGATGAGTGAAGGAAATGAAATTGAACATGACAAACAAACCACAGAACGGATTCCTATCGCGAGTGAATTAAGTGACAATAGTGAATTATGCTCGCACTGGTCATAGATGTTTGAGCAACTCCGTGATATGAAGACGCTTTAAAACCCCAGTGAAGTTACAAGGATACCATTCAGGTACGTAAAAGGTACCGATAGAAGTTGGCTATCCAGTCTTGTCGAGTAGCATCATAGGATATCTTTCTAATCAGAGGGTAGGCCAACAGACTTGTATAGATAGAGCAAGGTAGGCTTGGCCAGTTTCATCGCTGATCATTATGCTACGGACTAGCCTTTGCTAGCAGTCCTTTTTAACTTTATACAACGAACAATTCTTAGCCCAAGCAAATCAACCCAAGCACGCCGCAACGCCATGGTAGCCACCACCCGTGATATCTTATGCCAAAAAGTCATGCTCTTTGAAGCTCTCTGAACCTTTGCTTCGTACACACGCACACGCCTACACCCTTATCCCGCCTCAAACAGGGCGCTTGAACGGATGCGCCTCGGTGTTGAGCACCCAGTCGTCCAAGCTGACGACATCGGGCGTTGAGAACAAGAGGTAGAAGTACTTGAGCGTCTCGGCGATCCAGAAACTTTCCATCTCGTCAACAGGTTGAGGGTCTTCAGACAATACATCGTCAATGGCGCTGTTGCCGTGCTCGGTGCGAGTCGCCTTGATAATGGCCTCCCACATCCTCCATCCCTTCTCCTGCCACACAGGATCTCCAGTGATGCGGTACATGTACCACACGGACTCGATAGCTTCGGGACTGAAGAACTGTTAGGTTTTTGAATTCTTGAACGGAAATCTGTAATAGCTTACCGAAGGATGTAACGCCTGGCGTCGATGTTGACGAAGCCAGGCGGGATCTTCTCGAGCTCCAACTTGTCCTTGACCCACTCCTCGTGCGAGAGCGGCTTCGGGTCGGGAACCTCGCCCTCCTCTTCAAACGCGATCTTGTCCACAATGCCACCGCTAACGGGTGCGTCGTTGGGGACACTGCCGGTGATGTCGTCGGTGGTGCTTCCAGGGTTGTTCAAGTCGAGCTTGTCCTTCACGGTGTTGCTAGCGGCCTCCTGAGCAGTACCCTTACGAGGGTCTTGAGACACTGGTGGAGCAGGGTCTCTCTTCTTCAAGAGGTGCTCATCGACGTTTGAAGGGGACTTGTTCAGGCCGGGCTCAGGTGCTGGGTACTCGGTTTTCTCGGCCGATCCTAGCTTCTTTGGTTCATCCTTGGGAACCTGAATATCGTCTAGCGGGTCCTTCTTTTCGACCGGGGACTCTGACTGGGTCGTCTCTTCGGTCGACTTCTCCACGGGTTTGTTGCCTCTTTCAGTTGTTTGCTTGCGGAGGGCGTCTTGCTCCTTTTGCTGCTTCTTGTCACGTTGCCTCTCTTCCCACGCCTGGACTTGCGCCGCACGCCACTCAGCGGACGGATCGAGGTGCTCCCACCACAAGGTCTCGTTCCACGGGCAACTCTTGGTAGATGCGCAGGGCACGACAGAGGCTCCTTCAGGCATGATGCCAGAGGGCATCGTTTCGTACGCCCAGACACATCCATCAGTGAGCTTCTTGGCGATTTCAATATCATCGGGTCTGTCAAAAACCTTGCCTCCCAGACCAAACATGCCACCAATGAAGCAGGTGAGGTGAGTGACTTCATACTCTGTTCGCAGGTCGTTTTCAGGGTCACCAGAGGTCGAAACCTTGGCCGAGAAGAGAATGTCCCTTTCTTTGGGAACCATAGGTCTGTACAGAAGCCATTTTTTCACAGCCTCGACCGTCTTGATGTGCATCGTCTTGTACTTTTGCTCCAGACCGCCAAGGACGAGATATTCCTGCGCGGGTCAGTCTCACTTCCATTACACTTTCTCAAAATCAACTCAACTCACCTTGGGGAAATACTCGTAAGTGGAATCTTGGCTACCACCCATGCTGTACTGCTGATAACCCCAACCACCAGGGACGAGACCTTGTTTGATGCACTCCCATGAAGACTTGTCTGGCGTTGTAGGGGTGGATGGTCTCCGACCACTGTTGCCGGGGTACAAGGGCTGCTCGTTGACCTTGGGCGCTGGGAAAGCCGTCTTCTTATCGATGTTTGCATTCTCGACCACAGACTCGCCATTCTGGTCGACACCAACAGCTCGCCTCGCGAGCGGATTGCTTTCCGGCTCGCTACCGTTACCCTTGGCCGCCGCAGTTTCTTGCGGCAGAATCGCGTCAGTCTCGTCGCGCTTGGCCTCAGCAGCCACTGGCTCATGACCCTGGGGCTCGCTCAATCGAGCAGCGGCCGCACTCGCACTAGCAGCCGCAGCCTGTGCCTCCTGGTAAATAATGGCTTCTGCGGTCCTGTTGCAGCCAGAGGCGTCCAGCTGTTCAGGGAAGATGCCATCAATGGTAGTGCCACGGTTCTGGAGGTCCTCAAAAGCGTCGGTAATTCTAGCGATGGCATCGTAGTACTTGTCTTTACCGGTCAATTGGGCAAGACGTGTGAACTCCATGCTCAGCGAACCCAGCTCGGCCACACCAACGGTCGTAGCCCGGTGGGGTTGGGAGGCATACTCGGGCATCCAGTTGTAGTACAAGATGGGCATACGATTAGGGGTGTCAAAAATGCCCATCAAGATTTCGGCGAGTTCAACGGCCTTGTCCAGCAGCACAGTGTACCCGCCCTCTTTGCCACCGCTCACATCGAAAGCAGCAAGAAGACCGCCCAAGTATCTGATGGTGGTCTCGAAGACTGGAATGTCACGGCGCGTCGGGCTGTAGGTAAAATCGATCTCCTTGACAGCCTTGACGGCCTCGGCGAACTCTTCCTTCATGCCCATGATCCAAAGCGTATCAAGGCCGTCCACGAGAGTAGCAGCCCAGCCACAGAAGGGATCGCGGTTTCGGCCGCTGACGGGCGAAAGTTCATCGTGCATCCAAGCGAATTTGCGGTATCCGCCCCAGGATCGTAGCATTTCAGCCTTAATCAGGGCTAGGCGTTTTTCGCGCTTGTCCTTGGCAGCCTCCGACTCTGGCTTGAAGTCATATTGGATCTTGGGAATGTCTTTGGGCTTGCCGGCGGGGAGGGGGATAATCTCGTCGGTTGGAACGGGGAAGTGTTCGGAGACCTTGTGCCAGTGAATCAGCGATGTCGAGGTCGACAAGCTCTCAGCGATATCAAAGTTGGGTCGGCCGGGAGGCTTCTTGGCATGGAGGTCCTCTTCCAACTCCAGAGGCTTTGTAGGCGCCTTCGTAACCTCGGGCGCATTGGTAGCCTCGATCTCGTCATTATAGGCGTGAATGGACAGAGTAGGACCAGAAAGAGTATTGGTGGGCGCCTTGGCCTTCTCCGTCTTGAGCTGAGGAATCTTGACAGTGGGCTTGGCCGTCTGCTTCTGAGGGTTCTGCTCGGGCTCGTCTTCCTCTTGGTCGTGGGGATGTTCGCTATCGGGGGGCGGCTGGTTGTTGAGGTGCTTGTTGGAAACGGGATCTTTGGCCGCCGGGGGTGGCTTCGAGGAATCCTTGTGGACGTTTTGGCCCTTTTCGGGTTCGCTAGGCTTGATGCTGCTGGATTGACCTGTGGAATCCAATTCAGGGTTTTTGAAGACCTGGTATAGCATGAAGACCATGACAACCGCGACCAGGATCACATAACGGCTCCGTCGGCGGGGCATCATGTTTGCGGGCTCGCCGAAGCGAGGCTCTCGTCGCGCGATTGAGAGGGAGAAGTTGTATTGCTGTCGCGTGCTACACTACAGGTAGCGCTAGACAGTCGAGTCGAAGGATGGAGGACCCTGGGGTCCAAAGAAGTCGAAAAGCAGCAAGGATGGTGCGTATGCTAATTCGATGTCATTTCTCGGTTTCCGTCGTCGTCGTTGTTGGAAGGAAAAGCTAAAGGTAAAGCCAGAGCCAGAGCCAGAGCCACGGGGGAGCTGGGACGACGGGCACGGGGGACAAGGAGCGGAGGAACGAATGAGAAAGGAAGGGGAGAATGGAAAACCACGGATTGGAACTCGACGCAGGTGAGGAAGGTAGGCACTTGGTAAGGCACGTAAGACGGCAGGAGAAGAAGAAAAGTGAAGGTACGTAGAGAATGGATTGAAAAGGCAAGGAAGGTGAGCCTGTGAGGTAGGGCGAAGTAAGGCAGGTGGCATGTACAGATTGGCGTTTAGGGGGGTGGGACGTGGCAGGAGCACACCGGGGGAGCTTGGCCAAAGGTCGAAAAAAATCCAGCACCTCGGAGGGGAGGAAGGAAGCACCCCGGATCTCTTAGGTAAGACGGGAAAGACCTGATGATCCACGAGGCCACCGGTCGCTAACTACTTAGGTACTCCGTACTCATCATTTGCCAGTTACACCCCACCAGAAACATACATGTACGGGTCATCTCGATGTTCATCCATTGTGCCGTTCTACAGACATCCTCGACCTCCATAGGTACGGATACACTGCACAGAAGGTGCCCTGTCACTTCCGTGTCCAAGACGCGAGATCTGAGCTTTCCCTGTGTCGGATTGATCAACGAAATGGTTGGTCCAGGGGTTAAACACGCTTCTTGGTCGTGTTTCTGGATCCACACGCTAACACTTGCCATTCATCTGCTAGTAAATCCTTGGTAAAGGTACCATGATCGCTATCGGACCCGGTTTCTCCTTAACGATGGATAGCTGTCGCGGAATCCAAGATTACCCCATGTCTAAATTTCTAAAGACGGCCTCTCGTCTTCTATCAAAAACGTTTCAACCCCAACTCAGCATCCGGGCCCGCAACCTGCTACTATTGCCACGTTACACTCACCGTACGGGTAGCTCATCGGTCGACGGTATCGACTTCAACAGCAAGCATTCCACAAGGTGTCTCTAGCCTGCCCGCCCCCTCATCTTCTGTACCACTGAGAAAACGCGTTGTCTCTACCAGTCTCTTTGTACCCCGGACCGGACACTAATTGGCACCAAGCCGGCAAGCCCCCAACCTAACGCCCGGCTCACCTGAGATACAAAAGAGAAGTTCTCAGCGCAATTGGCTCCCGAGGCGGGTCGCACCTTAAGTCTTGAAAGAGCATTCTTGCTGCACCAAATCCAGGGGCCGGGGACCGACGCACCCTAACAGCGGGGCGGGAACGGATCCAGATGGACCAGATGGACCTTATTTTCCCAGGGGAATGGTGGTTCGCTGCTCGGCTGCTGGCTTGCTCCAATGTCGTATCCGGAAAAGGGTCGTCCGTTCCATTCGTGATTTCCCCCCATTTCCCGTTCCCTGAGAGGAGGACAAACTGATAAAAAAGACAAGACGAGGCAACACACGACCAGAAGGAGAAGGCCACATCGTCCCGGATCGTAAGGTGACATCAAACAACCCCCAACTCGAGAATAGTGTCTTTGACGATGCAGCTATTCCCGAAACCGTCGTCTCGACTCTCAAGTTCAGTCACCCGACTTAAGCCAAGCCGGATCTTGGTTGCCCTCTGCCTGTTTACCCGCCTATTGTCTTGGCAGAAGACCGCCCACCTCGACTCCGCTGAACCTGCCTGAGAGGCCTACAGATACGGATACTTTCGGCTCCTCTCCCAGCTCCAGCTTGATCTCCAGCTCTAGCCTAGCGCCGATATTTCTTTGTCTGCGACCGATCCACAAACCAAAGCTCCTTTGCTACCCCTTGGCAATAAAACATTGAGAGACAACAGTCTCAACTTCTCAAGGGCGAGGGGAAGGTTATCAGCCACTCAGCATTGGACAATTCCCCGACCTCCTGATTTTGTAAAGGCCATTTTCCACTGAATCTCTTATTCCGACCACACAAGTTACAACCGTCCACAATTCCCTCTTGGTCCCTACAAAGTACTAAGCAGCCGTCAATTCAGAACTCTAAAGAACGCGAGAACCCGCACGGGTCCGCAGATCAGAAACGTAATCTTAAAGGCGAAACACTCCGAGCTCTGGATGACTTCAGCAGAGCTCCATTCGCATAACGCAGAGATAAGGCCACAGTAAATGGTTGTGTGGTTGTCAATCGGGACACTGGCCGCCAGCAGAACACGACACTCGTGGAGAAGAAAAGGTTTGTGAGTGTCTCAAGCTGAGGGCAACTTTGGACGGACTCATGTAAGGGGTCGCCTGCCTCTGTCAGGTCCCGTATATGACGATGCTTACTTGGTAGAGTTCGACATTTCGTATCCGTCTACTTTGCGATCGGCCGAATGGACTCTTGAGCTCCCTTGGAAAAAGTCACTTCACCCGTACCTATTCCCACTTTCCCCTTTCCGCATCAAATATCATCAGTCAAGCCAGTCAAGCTTGACAGCATACCGTGCCTGCCAGCGCAGACTTGAAGGGTCTGTGGTCTTGACGCCAGTGGATCCACCGGCTCCGTCATTATAATCCCCTCCTCGGGAGCGGCGGCAACGTCGGAAACAGCGGCCAAGCCGGTGCCCAGCTGCGGTACCCGGAGCCGGTCGCGACTTGAAGTTGGAACCCGTCGGCCGGCGAGTGAGCGGGTTGATCAGCCACAAGTATCCGTAAGCAACGCCGAGAAATTTCACTACAGCAATTCCACGACCCGAGTTTGGCGTTGAGGTTGCATTTGACAACCCTTTCAATGCAGATTACGACGGCTGAGAGAGAAGAAACAACAATGAGCCGACCGGTCGAGGAATCGAATTTGGATCCCGAAATAGACAGGAGATTTCACTATCTAACCGGGACCTCTACAGCTCGACCAACCCCTCGACCATACAGTCCAGATGCTTGTTGTTGAGGTAGTAGCGATGATTCATCAGCTAAGAGCCTCGCGGTTTGTCCTGCTCTAATTCTGAGGCGGGCAGTTCATACCTCAGGTGTCCTGGAAAGAAGTGACCTGCCTTCGATGTCCGCAATACGCTTGAGTGGGTATCACTGCAATCAAGTCGATAAAGGTTGCGATTGTGTACAACTATCGTCTCTACTGAATGACCCTGACAGTACCATTTGTGAGTTGACGAGAAAACATGCGTTGATGAATTACCACCTGCGCAGCCCGATCGGCCCCGTACAGCTCCAATGTTTGAATGCAAGCTTGTTGTTCTCCACCTCGTCGACGATAGCCACCGCCATATCCTCATTGTAGATCCCGTTCTCCGCCGCCTCCGTCGCCGGGTCTTCAGGCGTGTCGATGAACAATTTGTACTCCCCAGTCCGAACACCTAGAACGTGGTCAGTATCAGAGCTCGCGAGTCTGCAAGTGAGATGGAAGAGAACAGAAGTTGTGAGGGGGGGAAACTGACCCTTATCACGCAAGAGACCTGGGGGTGAGAGGAAGGACCACGACTTCTCAGTGACGCCGTTCCACATCGTGAAGGCCATTCGACACATTATGATTAGAGAAATGGCCTTCTTGTCCGTCAAGCAGCTTTTTAGCCACCGTTGGACCAGATACGTGGCTGGTCTCAGAAGCCAGGAGTAGACTGGGACGAAGAAGCTGTTTCAGCAATCCGACTCTGTGCACTTCCATCCCATCGATGGAAGTGGGATCATGGAGAATTGGAGAATAGGAGAGACCTACATCTCGGTCGCTGCATGTGGGCTCTGCTCCACTTCATCAAGACGGCGACGACGCTGATGAACCTGCTTCCGTGGTCCAGGCCTCGCTGGGTCATGTAGTCCAAGTGCTCATCGGGCCAGGTCCACCTATCCAAGCAAAGCCATCAGTTCCTGGCTTTGACCCATTACGTGATACGAATGGAAACCTACCACCAGCTGTACGCAAAGTCCTTCTGGTCCGTGAGTTGAAGACGGTTCGCGACATGGATGGATCCCGCTCCACCTAGTACTCAAACTCAGCAATATACTTCACCCAAAGCAAACTCGATCCCACCGCTGCCTTGGACCACATACCAACAATAATAAACGGACCCTCATGCGTCGACGCCAAAAGCGCCGTCTTGATCCTCCCATGCGCCTCGACACCGTCCTGGTACACAGTAGCCAGATTCGTCAAGCTAGGTCCAAAGGCGCACACGATGGCGTCAAAGTCTGATGAGAAGATATCGATGAGTTTCTTCTGTTCAGTGTAGATGTCGACGCTGGTAGCACTGTACGATCCGCCGCCGGTGCCGTGCTTCCACTGCTTTGGGGGGTTGCGGGAGACGCCAACGACGGCGTGGCCTCGCGTGAGGAGCTCGTCGACTACGCAGCTTCCGGATTGGCCTTTGGGGCCAATTACTGCGACACGGAGTTTTCTTGAGGTCATTGTGAGAGATATGGTACAGAGTGTATTAGTTTCGTTTCGTGAGGAGTAGATGCTTGAGGGCGGGTAGTGGAATTTATACGGTGCTTGTGTCGGTAAGGATTCGTGTGCTGATCCAATATCGTGCCTCGGTTGTATGACGCCAGAAGGTCAAGTGACCGCCAGTAGATCGCAAGTCCTTGATGCCGTTACGGAAATCCGAATTGAACATCTCAGATGGTGTTCCATACAGCTGAGGGTGTCGAGTACGAGCTACTCGTATAGCTCACTCGGTCCGGGCAAAAAGTCCGAGTGGCCGGCGTCCGGGGGGGGGCCCCGGGGGAGGGGCCCCTCCCCCGTAGGTGGGCTAAGGGGATAGTCCGAGCCACGAAGTGACGGGGATGACTGCCGCTTACGACTGCCGGATCTTGGATGCATTTATTACCACATCCTTATAAGTTGAGACGACTGGGAGCGTGTTATCCTGGGGGCGGTCACCATTTGAATGTAGTTAAACCCCCCTGCTTGATATATGGAGAGTGCCGGGACGAGATGATGGGTGTGTCCGCTTGGGAGCTGGTGAATCTGATTCTAGTCTTCGATGGATTACCGAGTTCCTGAAATGGCTAGATCATTACTTACACGCGTGACCTATTTACACATGCCACGATATCAGAATAAAGGGTGGCCGGCTAGTTTTGACGCATGAATAAGGAGGTTGAGACTAAGGCATCCGTCATGAATGTGTGATTACTCTAAGATGGTTCATCTGAATATCTGAAGGAATATACAGAAAACGTGAGGGCTTGTGATCGTAGCCTAAGGTATGTACCCCCCCTCAATCCTATTCCTGTCACCAAACAGAAGGCGCCCGTCTAGGTCGACGGGTCAGGTCAAACTGGCTGGGTGGTGGAGTGGTCTAAGGTCAACAATCAACGCCAACCAGCCTACTCGACGACAGGCTTAGCGAGTACCCGAGTTCGAATCCCAGCATGAGCACCAAGAGATGTAGCCTACCGAGGTGAACTCTTTTTTATTTCAAAATGACAGAGGTGCCACGTGATACTCTATGACTTTTCCAAGCTGATTGACCGAAGATCCCCTCACTTCAACATCTTCACAATCGACAACCGATCAATCAAATCCTGACTCATAACATAATCAAAATCATCCTTCGTAGTACTGCACGCAAGAGTCTCTCACTCCTTGCATAGCTGAAGCTGCTCCTCGCACTTCTGCCTCATAATAGCCAGCGCGTCCGCCCCGAGAGGCACCCGGATCGGGAAGGGCTTGCCCGCAGCCATGCCCTCGCCCTTGACCACGTCCCACACGGCCGCCGGCAACTTCTGGGTGTCCAAAGGGCGGTTCGTGAGCACGTCGGAGACGAACTTGCCAAAGGCGTCCTCGGCGACCTCGCGGTAGTCCGGGTTCGTGGGGAGGTTGGCGAAGCCTTCGTCGTCTGCGGTGCGGATTGTGCCCATGCCTGTTTCGAAGGCGCCGACTTCGAAGACGACTATCTTGATACCCGGATGAGCGGTTTCTTTCTGCAAGCTCTCGGCAAAGACTAAAGTTATCATGTGGTCAGTTTTTGTCACAAGGTCCAACTCTGGCACTTCATGGCCTGCCATGAGGTAAAATGGATTGAGCACATAAGAGTTAGGCCTGCTTTTGCGATGCCGTAGTGTCCAAGGAGAGGATAAGACAGCCAGCCGAGGCCGGCACCGATGAATCCAAACGTCCCAGCCCTTCGCTCACGAAAGTGAGGAAGGAAAGCCTTAACAACGTTCATGGCACCAAGCAAGTTGGTATGAAACAGCTTCTTTTCAAAAGCTTCACTAAACGTGTGAAATCCCACAAGTCAGCAAATGTAGCACTAGCTATCAAATAGCGAATTCGTTGGCCAACTAGAATTGTATCCTCCTTACTCTGCCTCCTCGATCGAGCAAGGGACCGAGAAGCCAGCGTTGCTGATCACGACGTCAATGTGACCGTACGCCTGAAGGGCCTTCTAGGCCTGCTGTTTGATCTCGGTGAGAGGCGCGGTGATGTCGAGATCGAGGGGAAAGATGTCCGATTTGTTGTCGGAGAGTCGCTGGCTGGCGTTGCGACCGGTTGCGATGACTCTGTCGCCACGAGCGGCGAATTGCTCCATCATGGCGGCGCCGATGCCTGATGTGGTGCCAGTAATCAACCAGACAGTCATTTTTGCTAGGATTGCTGGGTAAGAGATTGAGTCTAAGTCAGTTAATTTTTATAGGCTTGGAAGGGCATCGGTTAGTATTCTCAGTTCTTCTGGATTTTATCTAAGGAGAATTCCGAGACTCTTACTGTTGGTATCCCTATCACAGGGAATTTGGTTCGAACCGTAGGGTCCTGTGGGTGACGAAGTATTAATATCTCTGTATTGATTGATTCTGCGTAAGGAGTAGAAGGGAGATTCCAACCGTAGGTTGGTTGGGTAGTCGCGGTCTAATTATACCACCTCGAGGTGGCCCATACTCTTGCCCTTATCCGCGGTCGAATTAGACTTCCAATCCGGCACTAACTATCTCTCTTTTACATCTAAGTAGTACGGTTAGAAGTATAACTTGAACACTGCGAAGTCGTATAAATATTTAGAAAAGCAATACTATCTAATACGCCCCTTTCTCTTCCTTCCAAGGTCCTTTCTGTATGACCTATCCCTCTATGTTACGACCCGACATGCACGACCAAGTCCAGGGCCTGCCCCGCAGGACCACGGCGACTAGGGCACACCATAAGTGCACGAACTATGGGAACACATGCGTCACCCTACGGAACGGAAGAACTATGGAGCAAGTCACGTGATGATAAGATAAGGAAAGCCGTATGCCAAGAATACGGAGTCCGTCCCTTTGAGGTACGGACCCCGTATGTTCAGAATACGGACCCCGTATGTTCAGAATACGGAATCCGTATGGTAAACATACGGATAAAGGATATGTTCAGAATCAAGACTTGTATATAGGATGGACTCGAGCCGGACTCTAGGACAGACTTTCCATAGCTCTTCAGCAATTAACTTCGTATCAGGATTAACATCCGCTTTCAGCTACTACCTTGACAAGACTACGATTGATCACCGAAGCCTTACCTACCCTTACGATTGACAGACATAGCTTCCCTGAAGCTATCCCCGACTACGATTACTGTTACCAGTTCCGCAGCCTCAACTTCTGCAAACTACCCCTACGACTAGCTGGCCGTAACACTCTATTCGTACCGTAGCCTTTCCCTTATTGATAAAGTATTCTAACCCCTGGTTAGGGCTCGCTTTAGTAAAGGTATCGGCGAGGTTATCATTGCCATTAGTCTAACAGATCTCCATTATCTTACGTCGTTTATATAATTACCGTAAGGCCATAATATCGATCATAAGCCTCTTCTCCTTCGTAGTACCTAACTTAACGAGGCATTCGTATAATGAGTATAAGTCTATATAAACTATTATAAGGATTGTAAGTAAGCCTAGTCGATCGGTATTCCTCTCTAATATTATTAAGATCGCGTAAGTAAAGTCGACGCCTTTAACTATATTATAGACTTCCGATATAAGGACGCTTTTGATAACTCGCTTGTTCTTTATAGATAAGTAATAGATTATATTACCGTAAATAGAGAAACTATTCTTTATTATAGTCTCCTTAGTTAGTATCATAATATAACCTAGTTAGGGAGTTAGATCCGCGTTATTTATGAATGACTCGTCGACGAAGATATATAGCTAGGTTAATGTTAATTTTAGGGGATAATAGGTTAATCCCTTATCGAGGTAATTAGCTTACTAGTTGAGCCTCTTATTAAGGGCTATGATATTCTTATTTATTAGATCTATTATTTATGCTATTCTAGCGTAGTTAAAGATAGTTTTTAGTTAATAAATACTAGCGATATAGGCGCTGCGTGCGAGCTTTATACGGTATTATTATTATTGATCCTTTAATATCGGATCTATTATAATAATCTTTTCCCTTTAACTATCTCTTTTACTAGAAGATAATATTATCCCCTTTTATAATAAGGATGCCGCTATCAAATACTAGCGGTTAGTTGGTAGTAAGGATTTCCTTAGGCTTGGTCGTAAAATTTGCCTTTTAGAGCTTATTGTTTTTATATATATAAACTTTACGTTAGAGAGCCCTATATTACGGCCAGCTAGTCGTAGTGAGATATGTTTATAGAATTTGAGGCTGCAAAACTAGTAATGTTATCGTAGGTAGGGAATAGCTTTAAGGAAGCTATGTCTATAAGTCGTGAGGTAGGGAAGGCTTTGGTAATTAATCATAGTCTTGTTAAGAAAGTTCTTAAGGAAGATAGCTAAAAGCGATCGTGAGATCTAATACGAAGTTAATTATTAAAGAAGCTAACTTATAGGAAGTGTCACGGTAGCAGGCAGGTTGTTTGGCAGGTGGATGCTGGGCAGGCGGATCAGACAATCTATTGCTACGGGCAGGCTCTATCCTAAGCAGGTACAGGCTCTGTTGACAAGACGTAGCTCAAGGAGCTACGTTTCTGGACATGCGCGACAGAATACAGGATGCAGGGTTTTATCCAGCCTCAGGCTTACGTAACCCGGCCACCGGATTACTCAACACCAACCTCAAGTTTGGGGTCTAGGACAGCGGGTCTGTGACAATTAACTAGTTATAGCTAGTTAACTTATTTCATAAATTATATGTTTATCGTAATAAGTATTATGTCTACCCCTATCTCTACCCCTGAGGGTCACCCTGGTCATACTTATCTCGTGACATTAACTTTAGCATTCATGGTAGTCTCGAAAAAACATCCCAGCATTTACGGTCCAGGTACCTATGTGGACAAGACCCTTACCCCTATACTTAAGACATCGAGCGAGTTTTCTACCTTACTACGAGTTGACTACCGGAGTTCACCGACTTCTGCCTAGACGTAAGCCAGTTGAAAAGGTGTACCTTCTTGTTCTTTGAATATTATCAGTATTTATTATATACTTTGTAATAAATAGAACCTTATATCAAATAGTTTTCAATAAATTCATCAGAGACAGTGAGACACCAATCATGAGCCCTCTACAATCAACGATGCTGAATTCCATTATGCGATACATAATGATCAACAGTACTCTACATACAAAGACTCAAGCATAATGAGTATTTTCAGAATGGTATTACAACCAGAGTCAGGCCGAAATATATAGTAGGACAAGAATTCAACCTCTGATCAAGTACGAAGCCTACGTGTTAGGTAGGCTGATCAACGGCACAACTTCCAAGTGGAAGGGAACTCCGATCACAGAAGGCGAGGCTGTGATACCGATGCTGATAAGAATAGTGGTAGTAGGTGAGAAAAAATTGTCTCCACTACTAGTCAAAGGGGAAACGGAAGTCCGAGTGGTGGAGATCGTAGTGTTGGAGAAAGGGGGATTGCTTGCGGTGATGGCTGTGGTGGATGAAGAGAGCCCATCTTTCGACGTGTCCGATAAAGTTGCGGTTGTTGTGCCACTGCTCGTCAAACCACTAAGAGCCATTCCAGAGGACGGACTGGCTGTATGACTGGTGGTTGAAGTTGAGCTAATGGAAGTTATTACACTTGTCGTCGAGAGTGCGCTGGTCGACGTCAGACCAGAAGCAGGCGGGTTCATCGTCCTACTTTCGGTACTGATGGGGCTACCAGTGAGCGTTGTGATGCTGTTTCCTAACAGAGAGGAAGTTGTAATGAGTGTGCTTTGACCGTGACTAGAACTCAGAGAGGAAGATGGCGTAGAGGGGTTTGAAGATGACGTGGAGGAGAAGCTTGAAGACGATGTCGAGGATGGAGAATCTAAGGATGATGACGTGGATGAGAAGGTTAAAGATGGTGTTGAGAAAGGAAAGTCCGAGGATAACGATGACGTAGAGGGGATGTTTGAAGATGATACCGAGGAAGAAGGATCCGAGGATGACGATGACGTGGAGGGGAAGTGGAGGAGAAGGTTGAAGATGATGTCGAGGAAGAGAAATCTGAGGATGATGATACCGTTGAGGAAGAAGAATCTGAGGTTGTTGATGACATGGATGAGGAGGTTGAAGATGTTGCTGTGGAGGAAGTTGAAGAGCTTGCAGACGTGAAAGTCGTGCCAGACGACGCCTGAGAGGTTGTTGTGACAACCGGGGAGGATGTAGAAGACGTCGTAGAGGTTGGCGATGCACTAGATGAGGCGCTACTCGCAATCGTTGCCGTCGTCACTGTTGTAGTGGCATAGACATTGTATACCGGGGCTCCGTTGTAATATCCACCACAACTGAGAGGGAGAGACCCCAGGCTATTTGGCAACGGCTCTGTTTCGCGACATCTGATGGTGCAAAGTGCAGAGTTGGGTGGAGGATTGGCGGCAAACTCGATCTTGGTGATACCGTCCTTGGAGCAGTAGCACTTCGTATCGAGCAAGAGAGACGCAGCACGCGAAGTAGCGTTACACGTGTTCTGGCACATCGTAGGGCCATTGTTCACCGGATCGTCATACTGAAAGTCTAGAACATTGGCTGCGTCGGTGACCACACCGCAGTTTCGATGGTAGTAGTAGTAGTATTTAACGTCATCAGGGACAGGAACCTAGCTATCTAACTAACTAAGCCCGATCAACCAGAGCGCCCTTTGGGCATATGATGTGCCGTGCCGCCATAGTAGCGTACGACAAGTCAGGCAATCTGTAGTGTACACTTTTCTTCTCGTGCCTAGAGCAGTGGAGATTATTAGCTAATCCCTAGGGTCCGTTCAGTTCCAAAAAAGCACGCCAGCAGGGGTTTCCTGACTCGGCAGAAGCGAATGGGCCTTGAGTAGCCCTACATCGTCCACAGACGACGGGCTATAACGAAAAGGCCGGCCCTCGCGGGCGTAATTACCCACGAGTGCATTTTCCTGTTTTCCAGTATTATCTCGAGTAGATCGGGAAAAATAAAGGAGTGAGAGGGAGAGGGAGGGTGGAGGTAGGGATATGGCCCAAGAGATATAAGTGTGAGGCGTGGTATCTCGGGCTCGCTATCCCCTCACAGGGAGTGCGTTTCGAAGTTCCGCGTCAAGCGCTCGAACTTCTCAAAGGCACCCGGATCTCTGATCAGGGCGTACCAATAGGCTTCAGCCTGGCCCTTCGGGGGCGGTAAGGGGCCCGGGTCCTTTTTGGGCCCGGTGATCGGCCACAGCGCCGCCGTACGGCGGTTCTTTACGCAGTATACTGGACGGGTAGGTGATAATTTCCGTCCGCAGTTACATTTGAAGTCCCCATCGTGCTGAAATTGCCTGTGATAGGCGAAGAAGTGGCCATGGCCAGAGCGGGCAGCGAGCAGGTAGTGCAACAGTGGGCGAGGTAGGTCCAACTCCGGTGGGCAATAGAGGGCGGCGTCAGTGTTCCTGTAGCCAAACTTGAGCTTCTGCTTAGATGTGTGCCACCACCTCGAGTGGTGTCCGCGGGCTCTAGCGCGAGCTATCTTCGCTATTCCAGCGTAGGAGGCCTGCGGTAGGGGGTATGGCAGCGAGAGTGCGGCTCCCTCCTTGGCGAGCTTATCAGCTAATTCGTTTCCAGGTATCCCGGTGTGTCCGGGCGTCCAGTGGCATTTGATATCCCTTGCCTGCTGAGCGTCGACTATCTCCAGTAAGGCCGCTTGCGAGCTGGCTGGGGACCGCAGTTTCGATACGAGTAGGGCGCTTTGGAAAGGTATCCACCCATTGTTGCAAGAGTCGGCCACAAAGCTTGTAGGATACGGCAGGAACAAACGAAAACGATACAGAGGGAACTTCTGGGGTTTTAAGCTTGTGACTATTCGAAGTAGGCGCTTTTGCGATGGCAGTCGAAGGGGAACATGAAGGCTTTGAAATTGACTGCCAAGCCATATCATCTTCTACGGGAACGTTGTGCGACCACGAGGAAAATTGACCCAGCAGAAGACGAAAGAGTCTACTTCAAACGTGTTTCTGAATTGAAGACAAGGCATTATCTCCGATTTACTGCCTGATCCAGTCGAGAATTCCAGTTCAGATTGTGGCTGGCCCCCCTTGCACGATGATTGGGCTTGTACGTCCATGTTTGGATCTCAATGACTTAGACAGTCTCACCAAAAGTGTCGAAATCGGCCATGACTGTTGGTATGCCGAAGAAAACAGGCTGCATTGGATGAAGGTCGCATATAGGGACGGCGAAGATTCGTCGTTAACTGAAGTACCTTACTCTAAGAGAACTTGAGCTGCTTTATTGACCTCAGTTCAACAGATCGGGTGCCTTGCTGACGTGTGTTAATGCCTGCCTCATCATTACCATGTCCACCAAAGAGGCTGGCTATGACCTCTCCACAACCGCTACAAGTGATGTTACTTGGTCCATTACATTTGATCTAACAATCAACCGCATATTGAAAGAGACACGCCGAAGAATGACGGATCACGTCTCTGGCACCAAATAACAATGAACCACGCCGTCCATTGCTAAGTAATACCTAGTCTATCTTAGGCTATCTCCCCAACCTCGATTATTGCATGCCTTGTCGTTCATGGCTGCTGATGTCACTCTGGACATGCAAAACCCTCATGCTCCTAGTTGCGCCTCTAACATTTCGATTCTTTGAAGTAGCCGCTTATTGAACCGATGGCGGGGGCCTAATCCATGTCCACCAACAGTCTGAATGTTGGCCTGAAGCTCTCGACACAGCTCCAATGCCTCTGTCAAGTTTCCCTTGCGCTGGAGGAGTTGTACGAGTTCCCAAACGTGCCATATCCTGTCCGGATGTTCACCATCGATATCACTAGCATCGGAGTATTTGTCTTTGTCACAAGCCTTGCGCAAGTAATTTTCCGCCTCGTTCAAGCGGCCCTGCAGTATCAATACCTCAGCATACCACTTTTGACCAGCCAAGACGCCGAGATGACTATCTCCGAGATCACTCTGCGCTATCTTAAGTGTCTCTAACATCATCTTAGCGATCTCGGCCAGTTTATCTGGATCCTGATGAGAACGAGTGGCTAGGATTCGGCCCCGTTGGGCTCGCCCGTAGAGGGTCAATGGATGGAATTGGCCAAATATGCGTTGACGCCGTTCGACAACATTTCCACTCAGCTTGTCTGCTTCGGCCAAGTACTTCTCACGATCTGACTCTGGTTTGCCCCGAGAAACGGTCATCAAAGCACCGGCGAGATGCTCCTGATACATGAGCGTCTCTATCTCAGAGACAACTCCATCCCTCAGCTTCTCGTTGGCATTCCGCTCGACGAGGCGCGCAACCTTGCGGTGTTGTGACACAGATGCCTCAAAATCGTTGTAGAAGAAATGAACATGCCCGATTAGATGGGCACAGTGAATAGTTTTTCGGTGGTGGGGTCCATAAGCTTGCTCGAGGCCGGCGAGGGCCTGCTTGCAAAGATCAAAGGACTCCGAGATCCGGCCCAAAGCCAGCACGCTGTCGGCAAGCTCTGCCGTGATCTCCAATGTTTGAGGGTGCTTCTCTCCTAATGTCTTGCGACGTGAAGAGTACACTTGCCGCAGCAATTCGGTAGATGCTTTCCGTCGTGTCTGGAGGAGCAATGCTTTAGCCAGCCCCAACTTGGCAAGGTTCGCAAGTTGGTGATCAGGTCCTAGGCGCTGTATGAGATAATCGTGCACAATAGACAATAGGCCTTCCCCTTTTTCAAAGGCACCACACTCCAGAAATACCTTGCCAAATCTAGCATTTTGGCTCATCTGCATCTGGCCCTCCCATGGCCCAGACAACAGCTGTGTTGCCCGTCGTGTCCATCTTTTGTACCACCAGTCGGTTTCCCCGCGTGCCAGATTCGTCTCCATTCGTTCTTTGATCGGTTCCGAGAGTTTCAGGGCCATTTCGATATGCGGCTTCAAGGCACTCCGGAACACCGTATCCGCAACATCGTTCCCGCCCACTATGCGGACTGAGTTCGAAAGAACGGTCAATGCATATTGGCAAAATAGAGCTTGCTGGGCAACTGAGAGGCTCGGTCGTTCGCGAATCCACTCATGTACAAGAGGATGCATATAGTATCCGACAACGGAATCTTCCTCTTCGTTTTCATCGCCAGCGTTGGCTATTTCGCCATCCTTGGTCTGTCTGTTGTCTCTTGTCGCTCTCGTAATAAGCGATCGAGACACCAAGATGCGCAGAGCGCTGTTAACACGATGCTCAACTTGGCCTCTCAAGTCGTCCACGTTCATATTTTGCGGATTCTTCAAAGCCTCCGGCAAAAGAGGCGGCAAAACAGAGAGGTTAGACGCGGTTTGGATGACTCGCTGTACAACTTCTGCCCAAGAAGCACGGCTCTTGAGGCCAAGGCGTTGTATAATTTCGCTCTCCTGCTTCTGGCTCTCTCTTCTTTCGATGACTTCTAGAAACGGGTTCAGAGCCGCTTGTACCAAGAACTCAACTTTGATGTTCAGGGGGTCCATGAATGAAAAGATTTGAAGAAGCTGGATAGCATCAGTGAAACTTTCGTCATTGGACCGATTGAGTTGACTGAAAGTTAAGAGCTCAAAGCTGGCAAAGACAGACATGTCGTTGTCATCAAAGGTTTTGGATTCCAATGAACCACTTTGAGGGTCGAGGTCTTGGTGTAAGCGGCGCTGCCTCCACCGTTCGCGGATAATGTTGGCTTCCTTCCTAAAATAGACCATGTAATCCCGCATTTTCAAGGCGTGATGGCGAATAGCCTTTCCTGCGTGCACAAGCGCTAGGGGAAGGTAATGAAGCTGGTGGCATATGTTTGCAACCTCTTTCAAAACTCCTTGACTGTAGTTCTTCTTCTTGTAATCCGCGGCGGCAAGGAGCAACTCATTGGCATCGTCCTTTTGCATAGAACTCAGCTCGATGTACTTCCGACCAGCTGTACCAAAAATAATCTTCTCGGGATTCCGTGTGGTGACGAGCACATAGCCGCTGTTCCCAGATGGCGCCAGCTCATCGAGCGAAATTTTGTCGTCATCGGCATTGTCGATGATTAGAAGCCATGGATAATAAGGATGCCGGGTGCTCAAGTGATGTTTTGCTGCTTGCTCAGTCGAGTTCACGCCAAAAACTTTGGTCATCTCGATATATGATGCCTTTGCATTGGTCTTGCTGCTGGCATCGATCCAAAACACACCCCAAAACTGGCCTCGATGCTCGGTAGCAAACTTGAGAGCCATCTCTGACTTTCCAGACCCCGGCAAGCCCTGAAGAACGAAGCGCTTCTGAGTAGATACGGGCGTATCAGGTTGCTCGAAAGCCTTCCTGATCTCCTCTAGCTGCTCCCGTTGCCCAACAAAGTGATTGTTACCTGGTGCTCGTTCTGTGAAATGCACGTTTCTCGATAGCAAACGCCAGCCCTTGCGTACCTTTTCTGTCGCTTCAATCACTTTCTTGACATCAGGATTCTCCTGTGAGCGGAACTGTTCCGTTTGTCTCTTGAGAAGAGCTGCTGCTTCGTAGGCCTTGAACTCGGCGTTTTGTAAGTAATTCCGGGTGTGGTCTGAGTCTTGTGATTTGTTCTATTGACGAGCCTTCTTTATTTCATGGGTGCTTTTTGCGAGTTCGAGTGCAGTCCGCAGTGCAGACAAGAGTTTCCTGTGGCTTTCCAACATACGAATCATGCTTTCGTACTGCTGTAGTAGACGGAGAAACCGACTGCCGCTGCGGGGCTGTGGCTCATCGTGGTTGATCGATTGATGGAGATAGCCCTTCAAGGGACTGGCAGCTTCGTCCAGGCAGCGATTGACTAGAGTGCGAACTACCTCCCAGATGGCTAGCTGACCGTAGGTATAGTGGCCATAAGTATCGTACTGAAGGGGTTGAAGCTTCTCACACTCGCCAGAGAGCAAGTGGGCTGCTCTCTCTAATCCGTAGGACTCGCCTCGCAAGGACTCATCCGACCAGTGGTCTTTAATGTCGAACAAATAACTCAAGATCTTCTCTAGGGTCCTGTGTAGTTGCACGATGCCAAAGTCAACATCAGGCTGGATCGGATAACCATCGGCAGAAGCGACAGAGGTGGCGGCTGGGCCCGCCGACAACATAGTCGTGACAAACGAAGAAAAGGAATATTCGTCCTCAGTCATCTTGATGTAACTGAAACTCTTGGTCAAAATCATTTGCAGACAGTGAGCGGGCTGAAGGGAGATAGACTAAATGAAATATCTGGAGGTGGCCTTGACCTGGGAGATTGGAGAGCCTCGGTCATGCATTCACCAGGTCTGGGAGGCTCGGTACCAGAGGGGCAACCGACGAAGTTCTACTAAAAATAGATGACGCTTTCGATAAGCCGAGCGAGAAGGAGGCTGCCGCGGAGTACAGTTTGTCCCAACCTGACATCCACGTCAGATAGCATTCTCCGACAGTGTGACAAATTGGAAGACCCCTCGGTTACACAGCTCGACCATCCAAGGCCCAAAAGATCAAGAAATGCAGAAATGATCACCTTGAACGTTGTAACCGTCACCTACTTAGGTTACAAGAAGCGTGAGATGATGCCCCGGCTACAAACCTGGTTGGGTGGTTAGCCGCCTGGTTGTGAACACCGATCCGCGTCTCGGGCGACGGGGGCAATTGTCACTCCTACTCAACTGGGTTGTTCATCTAACCATTCATCAATCAGATGCAAGGTACCTAACATGAAGTACCAAAATCCTCCTTTGGCTAGGTTTCAGTTGCGGGAGAATTGGCGGCGCAATAGCTCCCGAGAGTGGCACCAAGCAGGTCCGTCTTGGGTGAAGATGCCTGTCGGATTGGAAGTCCAATTCGGCCGCGAGTAGGGGCAGAGCATGGGCCACCTCGAGGGGGTACACTTAGACCTCGACTACCCACCCAACCTCTGGTTGGAATCTCCCTTCTACTCCTTACGCAGAATCAATCAATACAGAGATATTGATACTTCGTCACCCACAGGACCCTACGGTTCGAACCAACTTCCCTGTGAAAGGAATACCAACATGCCTTCACCTAGCAGGGGCATGAGCCCTATTCGGCGAGAACCTAGGCCGAAGTCCTCAAAAAGAGTGCTCAAGATGGCTTCGATGTTAACAGGGCCGGTGATGATGTAGCCTTCTCCAAGAATGTCAATCCGTAGAGTCGACGCAATATTCAGGTAGCGTGTCTGGAACTCTAGCAATCGGCCGCTGGGCAATGCATCATACTGGCGCTTCAGAAGGTCAAGCGCAAAAGGCCATCTGTATGGTAGAGTTGCCTGTACCGGCTTGCAGCCGTGTCGAGCTGCGATAGCTTCTTCCTCCTGCTTAACTTTCCGATATCGCAAATACCATCTAACGAAATATGCTAGTGTTCCAACGAGGAAAAGGCTGCGCAGAAGATAGAAATGCCAACCGTTGTGTGTAGTAGGACTCATGAGAGGTGTAGATATCATTGTCATCAAATTATGGTCAAGGTACCAAGAATAGATCAGAATGGATGTCGATCGTGAAAAAGGCCGAAGGCAATAGTAGAGACGAAATAGTGGAAGTAGTGCGAAGGTGATGTAGAGGCTGGGATCTCATGTTTGTACCTTACTGAAGCTACAACACGAATGCGTAGGTGTCAGGATGTTGGGATCCGGCGCCTGTGCGGCTTTACCGGATTTGGGAATCAACATCGGCATACGTACTATTTTCGGTCGATTGCATGTTTTATTGGTTTCAAAATACGCATGCCATGCATCCAGGCTTGGTATGAAATCTAACGATGATAATCGCGGCCGCCCGATTGGATGTCTGATTTCTCTGCAGCAGTCCAACTGTCCAACATAAGTCGAGCAAATTCACGTCGTTACACAGGCTGAATCCAATACAATCAATTCTCCAGTTCCAGGGTAACGATGTGTTTGTAGGACCCAACTTGCGGCAGGCTGGCACGGCTGGTTGGCGCTAACATTTGCCATCACATCAACGAATTTGCGAGTCGTCACATCCCGGCCGGGGATTCGATTGCTGAACCCGGCTTGGCTTTCATTGGATCCATTTGATAGCCCGGGCTTACACCCTCTGCTTCCCTGGCTCAAGTTTGTCGGTTGTTCACAGGAGCCGCATCCATTTCATCGAGATGTCCTCTGAGGATTCTGGTCTGCCTTCAGCCTCCGATCTTATCACATACATTGGCGTTCCGCTGACAGTCATTGGTTTGCTCCCAATTATTTACAATGTGGTTGCCACTCTGATACATCTGCAAAAGATCAAGCGGGTGCTGCGTCGTAACGGGATCTCTCCACCACTGCGCTCAGATATTTTCAATCGTATTGTTGAGGTCGAGTTCCCCTGGTACCGAATTCAATCGCCACAGCCACAACTCAGTGATGGTGCCACAGAAAATCAATCAATCGCTTCGAATAACAACATTCGCCTAAGAAATCTGAGCTCTACGACATCGACATCGAGAGAAGAATGCCTTCCTCCGATAAAACACAGTGATATCCCTGGAGGTAGTTGGTCATTCTTGGAATGGAAAGGGCACCAAATCGGGACGAAAACCCAAAGAACACAACCTGGAGACAATCTTCGACAACCTCGGGCTCAGATACGCTTCTGGGATCTGATCCTCCGACTTTACCAGTCGGCTCGCGGGACAGTCGACACAACGGGGTGGTCTGAGCTTCAAGAAAGTCCACTTTGGGTGAGAGGACGTCACTTGATGACTCTGAGTGACACTCCGCAAAAGTCAACCTTGATACTTCAGGTAGCCTCCTATCATGACTCCGAAAGCTCAATTTCCCTTGAGCTCGTTCGGTCCGGTCCGAGGAGTGACTGGTCATCTTTCCTCAGGGACGAGCCAGTGAGATTTACTACGCATGGATCTATCACTCTTCCGTGTCACAATCAACTGGATCAAAAAAGCCGGGAGACAGAGGATGAAGTAGCGAGCGATGCTGGCTCAATAATGTGCGACGTGACGGTCGATGGGTTGGTAGCTGTATACCCAAGCTCCAGGAATTGGGACTCGTTCAACATCGAACATTTGCGAATCGGAAATGGTCTCAGACACCACCAGGGGGTTTGGTTCGCCAGTTGTGCGATGGTACTGTATGCGCGAAGTTCAACTCCGATTTTGGAGTACAGAGTCCCAATCAACATACGACGGCTCGCTAAGACAGCTTTTATTCCGGAAGGCGTTATTAGATCACTGTATGGCAAAGGAGGCGAAGAAATACCATTCATGATTACCCGCAAATACCTCAAACCAGAAGGGGGTGGACAGGAAGGAGAAATACATCCACCAGTAACAGATACCTACATTTGGAAAGAGAGAGAAATGAACAGTCAGTATTACATCCAGGCTATAGAAAGTGGTTTTTGGATGCAGCAGCTAATTGATAAATCAGTACGCAAAAAGAGCCGGGCGGAATTTGATAGCCAGATTAAACGCATAGAAAATGTTGTAAACACGACTGCTATGAAAGGCCCAGAGCTTCAAGAGGCCACCATCGATTGGTTGCGATCCCGAGGTCACATCCCAGCCACGCAGTCCATGGAGGAAGCTACAAAGACTATCCTATTTCGCATGGTAACTGAACAAGACTTTGCTAAGTCTCTGTGTAGAATATTGGATAACTGGAACGAATGGGTGGGGAGAGGCGAAATGAGCGTGATGGACTTCTGTATTATCAACCAGATCAAAGCCACTTTTGCACAGGCCAGCCTGGTCATTTTGGTTCTTGCTGATCTCGAGAATGGACCAGCGTTTGAGTTGGATATTATGCAGGAATGCGCAGCGAAATGGGAGTATGTGGAACTAGGGTAGTCAGTTGAGCGTCGCGTACTTAGGTGAGAGTCGTATGATATGAGCTGAATCTTTCTCCTGTGTCAGCATCTGCCCAATTGCAACATCATCAAGCAATTCTTATCAATTCTCATCACAATGAATATTCTAACTTCGTACTACCCAATTTCCTGACGATATGACTGACACATTCTTACCCGTCTTATCGATCAGCTCGATCGTCTACACTGCGAGCAGGCAGTAACATGCTAGCGAAGCGAGTGCCACACCTGCTTCCGCATACTATATTACAAACAGATCAAGGCGAATCGCTGATATTCAAATTCTAGAACTATCTTGGAAATTTGAATGGTTTCAATTCGACCTGTCTGTTATAGAAGGTTTCCCCGAAGCTCTATCCATAAGGTGTATTTTCTCAGTGTAGCCGGCATCAAGGCTATTCTCAAAAGGTCACTGAGAGTAAGCGTAATGAATTATACATGCAAGAAGAGAACTCTATTCACGAGATGCCTCCAAAGAAAGCTTTTCGGTCCTGAAAAGGGACCTTGGTAGGTGATGACTAACTTTCTGACACTTCACAGCATCGAAAATTTGACCGATTTCGCAGGGTTCCTCGAACTGAAACCCACGTCAAGCTGGACCTGTGCCGCGGGAACGCGTCAAGTCTGAATATCAGTGTCCCAGTAGCTGAAGTCTCGGTGGTTCAATTCGAAAGCAACCTGGCGGGTCTCGCCTGGGCCCAGCTCAACCTTTGAGAAACCTCGAAGGACCTTGATAGGCGTACCAGAGGGAGCTGAATCAGTGGGAAGTGACATGTAGAGCTGAAAAACGGTTGCGCCGCTTCGATCACCGGTGTTAGTCACTCGGATTGTTGCGTTCGCCACGGGGATGAAGAGGTCGCTCAGGGGTACGGAGGACTCATTGCCAGTGCGAGCCAAAGGGGTCATCTTTGCTGTCAAGGCCTTGACTGAGAGCTCTGGTTCCAGCTCAAAAGTTGTGTAGCTGAGACCGAATCCGAACTCGTAGGGTATATTCCTAGGGATTGACCGTGTTGGGCAGCGATTATCAGGTAGGGGGTCAATGGGATGTATTGATGAGTATGAAGAACGAGTGGCTATGGGAATATCCCGACTATCTATATAGTGAGTGGAAGACCCTTTATACTGGCATATCCTTGGCAAACTTAGTCATGCTTGTGTAAGACCATATTGTTTCATAGGCATGGTGTGACAATCGTTGTAACGAGTGTACTGGGATGGGCCTGACACACCCCCCTAGGTTCAAGTCTTTGCTTGAAGCTATTCACACTTCTTCCTGGCCCAGCAGGTGTGTGATGTTAACAAGACGAAGTTGACGAACGAATTCTCGGTGTTTTTGTGCGTTCAGTGGTTTGGTTAGACCATCAGCGATAGTGCTATTGGTATCCATCCACTTGAAAGTGATGTCTCCTTTCCGACAGACTTGGCGAGCCCACAAATTCTGTATATCGATATGTTTCAGCCTGGAGGTTCTGTGAGGCTTTTCATCTGTCAGAAGACGAAGAGTTTGACTGTTGTCGCAGTAAATAGTAGGGAAACCGTCTGGTTGAATCTGGAGATTCTCCATTAACCTTATGGTTGCCATCACCTCATCTAGCCAGGCGTTTGTGAACGCATTGACTGCATCTTTTTGCCAGAAACGAAGTCCAAACCTGGCTCCAAGGGCCATCATGGTTCTGAAGGTTCTGGCAGCAAGAGTTGATGCTGAAGTGTCGAGATCGTTCGGCGGTTGAAGATTGCCTTGGACACAAATCCTTGCTTTGAACTTGTGAAGATAGCCGTGCTTGTCGAACTTATAAGTGAACACCCATAATAAGGGGATAATAAAGTGTTTTTCCTTATCGACGTTGCAGATCTGAACTCTCTTCCATGTGGCGATATCCCAATGGTGTTTTAGCTCAGATTCACAAGCAGCTTTCCATTCCTTGAAGAAGGGGTGCTTTTGAGCCTCTCTCCAGTTTCTGGGAGTTGGAGGAAGATCTCTCTTGTGCATCTTTCTTGTCGCATCCATCGTTGCGCTATGGAGTGCGCTTGTGTTGGCGGATATGTAGGCGATATACTGCTTCTGATAGAGACCTCTCGATTCAGAGCCTGCTGCCTCTTTACTTGGTTTCCGTCGCCTCGGGGATTTCAGGATGTTGGAAGAGTCAACCCCTTCACTTTTGTCGTATTTCTGGCGTCTTTTGATAACGTTGCTGAGGGGCTGTTGACCTACACCTTCCAAAGTGTTATTGTTGGAAGTATTGCTACCATCTCCACTCGTTGGAGTTGGTGAAGTCGCTGATTGGGTTGGTGATGAACCTTCTGGTCGAGGGGAGCCTTCCACCCACCCAGGTTCGATCTGATGGTCCCTATGTAAGGGTTGATTTTCTTCTTGTTGAGACACTGTCTCTTCTGTGTTGACATAGATGGTGTCATGGATTACTTCGTCTGAAGTAATGGCTGACGATGAAGATGGAAGTGGAGGGCTACTAGACATCACCCCCCCAGCCGAAGAGATATCGAGGCTGGTTTCTGTTCCTCTTACAGAACTGCCAGGCTGGCTGGATAGGCGGTTACCTAGCGTCACTTCTTCCCTAAGACAAGGTAGAGTTGGAAGACTATTATCTGGAGCGAAAATAGAACTTTGGCGGTCTGACGGATGAGTTGCATAGGTATCTGGGGCGCGAAATCCTCTAGAATGGATTCGATATCGTGATCAATATCGTCATGGAGTTCCAACAGGTCTAGATGCCCTGTCTGCTCTCTTATCTGTACGGCATCAAGTTGCTGGACTTCTGAAGGATTGTAGACAACTGATTCGTCAAATGACACGTCTCTGGATCTGAAAACCTGATTCAGAGTAGGGACCCATATGCGATAGATGTTCGAGCTATCATATCCACAGAGATAGCCAATATGAGCTCTAGGTGCCATCTTGGCTGACTTTTGGCGGCCAGCCATGTAGTTTTTGGTCAGAGGATAGGCTCTGCAACCATATCTCTTGAGATGGCTAAGCGATGATAGTTCTGGGCGCTTTGTACCCTTGTTGGCATTCAGCCACGCATTCGTCTTTCCTTCTGGTGTCATCCAGTTGATCTTCCTTCTTGGAGTTCGGTTGCCAAGATAGACGGCTGCCGCTGTTGTCTCTGGCCAGAGTTGTGGGGGAAAGTTTGACTGTATACAGAGAGCTCTTGCTGCAGCAAATATAACTCCCCAGCTCTCTCGGCTTGGCCGTTTTGTGCTGATGTGTATGGTGCTGTTCTCTCCAGAATGATCCCTTCCTCGGAGGTGTAGTCCTCTATGTTGGTCTGTAGAGACACATCCCCATCAAGCCGTAAAAATCGTACAACAATATCGTATTGCACTGAGAGAAACTTGACTAGTTGCTTGATAAATCGGAGGCCAAGAAGTCGTCGATGTGGAAGTGCTCTCTGGAGCTTCAGCTTGGTGTATGGGCATGTGGCGATAATACTGACTTTCGCCCCATTGTACGCTTCCTCCATCAGAAAGAAGTCAATGTTGATCCTCTCGAATGGGTAAGTGGTTTTGTAAATTGGTTGACGTCTTGAGATGCTCCTCATTGCTTTGGCCTGTCTACATGTCTCGCAGTCCTCTATCAGAAGACCCTCTATTCCTGCATCTGAGGATGCCTTGGATAGGTGTTGAAGAGCCGCCTTATTTGCGTGGCTGAGTCGTTCGTGCCACAGTTTGGCGTTCTCCTTGCTGGTTGCTCGAGGCTGAGAAGAGGATGAGAAATAGACTGCCCCTTGGCCGTCAGGAGGCTCGAGATGATACTGTGATTCTAGTATCCAGATTTGAAATTGAGGACTGCCCTGATTGTCTTCAAGGCATCGTTGCCTTGCCGAGAACCAAAGTCCTTGCTCCTCTAATCTGATGGTACTGATCAGGGTAGTTGGAGCGTCTGGTACTAAATATGCGCTGTTGATTCGCAATTGATGAGGTTGGCCCATTGCATCTACTGCATTGACTATCATGGTCCCTTTTGCGGTTGCAATAATAGGCCCATTTGGGGTGTCAAAGGTCTTCTTGACAGGGTTTAGATCTGCAAAGCGAGATTTGTCCCATGTGAGGGTATCTGATGCCCCGCTGTCAACAAGTACAGCGTGTTTGTTATCGCTGGCTTGAGCGATGTGCTGACAGCTGCCATTTGGTTCTTCTGGCACTGAGCTGGTATCCGACCAGTCAGTATCTGAGTCTGATGGACTGGATGCCCGTATGTAGTTGGCCTTGCTGGCCTTCTGTTCTGCCAATTGGTCTGGAGAGACGCTCTTGGTCCTGCTTTGCTCTATCTTTTCCTTTAGCCTAGGGTTGTTGGCAAGGAAATCTTGAGCCATCTGGATCTTCGCTGTGTCTCCAGTCCAGCCGGATGGACGAATGTATGGGTTCAAATAGAAGCATTCCTGATAAAAGTGCTTCTTCCCATCTAATAGACAAAAGGGTTTCGGCCTGTTGTCCTTATCCTTTGGTTTTCGGCCAAAAGAAGCGTTGTTGGTGTTGCCCTTGGCTGAAACCCGTGGAGATTGGCCTCTTCACGCTGTTGCCAAGTGGCATATGCACCGCCTGATTTGGAGTCTTCATCTCCATGCCCAGCCTCTAGCCAGGTTCTCAAATGCTGAAGGATTTTCTTGCCTATCAGCCGTTCTGATGGATCAACGTCGTCAATTTCTTCCCTGGTTGTATCCCTAGCCATGGGAGCGACGAAGTCTGGATATACCCCTTTCAATGCGTTGAGAAGGGTGGTTTGTTGATGAGGTACACTCATCTCTTCACAGCCCAATCTGACTGCTTTGGAGAGATTGGTCTCACAAGATTGAATCTACTCTTGGGTGCCTGATCTCTTGATCCTATGAGATGATCTCTATAGGTCTTGTAGGTAAGTCTTTTCTCCGCTTGAGGAGATCGTTGATACCTGTCCTTCAGGCTTCGCAGGGCTTCTCTTGGAGTATCAGCATCCACTAGCCAGGAGAGCATGGTTGGCTCGATAGTGGTGGTGATGTCTCTCATGGTTTTCTGAAGCGCCTGGGTTCTTCGCTCGTACTGCCTAAGCTCCTCGATATATACTCTGCTGTTGGCGTCAAACAGAGTAACTTGGTCGCTATTTGGGTCGACTGGCAGTTGTGGTCTGATAGGCGCAGTCAAGGCCTCATCAGAGTCAGGGTTGCAGAACTGCCATATCCCGTTAGATTTGGCATTCATCCTGATGAAGGTATACCAGTCTGGCCAGTCAGATTGGCTTTTAAGGCGAATAGTAGTCTGTACGGTAGACATCTTGTCCGATAGACAATAGGTCGGTTGTGATACCCGTGGATTGACCAGGTGCCTGCCTGGGCTGCTAATAGACAAAGAGGTAGTTGACTGTGTGATGCTTATTCAGAGTATCCAGTGGTCAGAAAGACAACTGGGCTCATAACTGTTGGGCAGCGATTATCAGGTAGGGGGTCAATGGGATGTATTGATGAGTATGAAGAACGAGTGGCTATGGGAATATCCCGACTATCTATATAGTGAGTGGAAGACCCTTTATACTGGCATATCCTTGGCAAACTTAGTCATGCTTGTGTAAGACCATATTGTTTCATAGGCATGGTGTGACAATCGTTGTAACGAGTGTACTGGGATGGGCCTGACAGACCGTAAGATATAACTTAATTCTCCCGAGGGCCTTGGGATTTAGTAATCCTAACTAGATATTTGTTACGAGCTGGACAAGGCAACCAACTGTGGCACAAAGCAAAAGCTTCGATAATGATGACTCCGGCATCATTGTCCCTTGTTCTGCATTATATAGCTACGCGCCCACAGTGACAAGTTGCGGCGGGCGTAACAATATTATATAGAACCCTTTAAGAAATATATTATCTTATATTAATATTCCGGTGCTGTAATAGCCCGGGGTATATTAATAAACCGCTACTAAAAACGGTACTAGTTTAATGTTACAACCCAACATGCATAACAAGGCCAGGGGGCCCGCCCCA